TGGAGATGGGCTTTCATACTACAGAGAGTGCCGCTGATGCTGAGGGAAGATATGCAGCAGCTTAACTCGTCCTCACGGTCCTGTAGGAAGAGTCACCTGATGGAGGAAGAGTCACCTGATGGAGGTAGAGTCACCTGATACCTGCGTGTGCTGCCGAGGCGGCAGAGGCTGGTCCCTGTGGAGGGAAACGGACTGAACAAGCAAACATAAACGAGACGTTGTGGCGGGGGGGCAGGCTGAGCCCTGCATGTGTTCTTCTTGGCGGCCACAGTTGGACCTTGGCCCGGGCATGCACAGACCTGCCTCTACCCACAATGCTAGGCGGGAGACTCACCGAGCCGCTTGCCGGACTTGGACCAGGAAGAGCATAAACACGCAGCATCGTAGTAGCCTCCTCCACCTCGCTGCGTCTCTTAATGACTCCTTTCTTTTTTTCCATTCTCTCAAACACTCGTCGGATTCCAGCACACGGCTTTGGCCTGCATTCACCACAGAGGATACTTTCTCTCTCTTTCCTCTCCTGCTCCCTTTTCCAAAACTTTAATTTGATTTCTTTATGGTCTTTGTCTGTTTTCACAGCGGAGGGTGAAAGCTTTTTTAAAAAGCTGCTGCTTTACATATCTTAGACTCTACGCCCTCAATAGGTGAGCTGCCGTGGCGACGGCAGTGAATAAAAGGGCCTCGTCCACACAACACCCGGTCAGGTCCGGTCCAAGCCATCCCGTTAAAGAGTCCAATACTGTATGACCAAAGACCTGCAGAATTAATGACATGAACTCTGTGTTTACTGATAATTAGCAACATGCTAATGCTAATATTTATACCATGCTAAGCTGACGTTAGCATTTAGCTTACAGTACAGCCTCTCAGACTGTAGTCTCTGTTCTTCCCCCCCCCCCTAAAATAAGGATGAAAACACTGCAGCTCTCAGTTTGGGTTTAATATGTGATCTAATAACCCGTAGAGTCGAGGAATGATTGACTTCACAAGAGGAAAGTGACGCCGCCACCAACCGGCACTTTAAAAGTCAGCTTCCAACATTTGAACTCTTCAGACTTTTAACGTCACACAAGGAGACGTTATTATTTATTCACTGTCCAGGTATGGATCCACCTTCAGATTCAAATTCAGATTTCAGCTGTGTGTGTGTGTGTGTGTGTGTGTGTGTGTGTGTGTGTGTGCGTGTGTGTATGTGTGTGTGTGTGCGTGTGTTGCATTCTGCTGGTTATTATATAAGTTAATGGCTGAGCAGTGTGTCTATGAAGTTTATGACACCTTCTCCTCGTCTGTTCCTCAGCATCACTCCTGTCCTCTTCACAGCTGGGTGAGTCAGAGGGGGAGGTGTGTGTGTGTGTGTGTGTGTGCGGGGGATGATCTTTACACCCCCCGCCAGGGATCAGACAAACACTTATTAACTGAGAGGAATGCAAATAGGCTGGAGCTGAGAGGCAGGACAGCATAGGGTGGAGGTGGGGGGTGGGGGTGGGGGCTTGAAGAAAGAGAAAGGAGAAAGAGGAGAACCCCCCCCCCGTCTTTCTCCTCCCTTTACTTCTTGTAAACTCCCCTCCCAGGAGATTGATCATGAACAAAGAAGCTGCTGAGGCTGCAGACGGCCGTGATGACCACGGTGTTCATGAAGGACAGGAAGTGACATCACACTTGATTTCAACTTATTCCATTATTCTATTCTTTAACATTCATTACCCAGTTGTTTTTTTAAGTTAAGATAAGTCAAGCTAAATTAAGATAAGATAAGTTATGTTAAGATATGTCAAGTCAAGTTTAGATGAGTTAAGTTAAGTCAAGATAAGAGAAGTTAAGTCAAACTCTTAATGACCTGTGCATGCATAATGAGGCTTTTACCTGTAGAGTCAATCAACAGAGATTGATCAGAAAGTGTCATGTGATCATGACCTGAATATCTTGTGATGGACTGTCTTCTGTGTTTGGATTCAGCTTCCTGTTTATCTCAGCTACCAGCTGTTGGAGACTATTGGTTGGTCCAGAGGAGCAGTGGGAGGCTGCAGAGGGAGGGTCGGCTGTCAATGAGGACAAATGACTACAGATTCAGCAGATTAGTGAAGTGAGTGGAGGAAAGAGAGGACACATCATGAGGACGTGTTGAACCTTTGTTTGCTAATGGCTTTGACGTTTTTACCCCAACTGTTTGCAAACGATCCAAAGCTCTCACGTCACGTCAGAGGACGTCAGGTTGTTGAACTTCCTCCTCCTCAGAGTGACGATGAAGAGAGAACAGAACATCTGGAACACGGACTGAAGGGAAATGTGTTTGATGTGATATGTGATGTCCAAAGGGTCGGAAGAAAAGATGCAAGCAGAAGATGCAGCGATGCAAAGCCCAAAGATTTAGTGTTAGTTAAGATTAGTTAAGTTAAGTTAAGATAAGTTAAGATAAGTTAAGTTAAGTTAAGTTAAGTTAAGTTAAGTTAAGATAAGATAAGATAAGTTAAGTTAAGTTAAGTTAAGTTAAATTAAGTTAAGTTAAGATAAGATAAGTTAAGTTAAGTTAAGTTAAGTTAAGATAAGTTAAGATAAGTTAAGTTAAGTTAAGTTAAGATAAGATAAGATAAGTTAAGTTAAGTTAAGTTAAGTTAAGTTAAGTTAAGATAAGTTAAGTTAAGTTAAGTTAAGTTAAGTTAAGTTAAATTAAGTTAAGTTAAGATAAGATAAGTTAAGTTAAGTTAAGTTAAGTTAAGATAAGTTATGATAAGTTAAGTTAAGTTAAGTTAAAACTAGAACCATCTGATAAATATTATATTATCGATATAATCAGCTGATATTAGTAAAAGAAGAAATATTGGCACCATCAGTTCCAGACATGGAACATTTCGGACAATTATATGTATAAATGACGTTTATATAAAACTAAATATGAGACTTAATGTCTGAGATTCTGTTTGTTCTGAATACAAGAGAGATTTTATTTTAAAATATGACTCATCTCAAAACATCAGAATATTTTTGTATTTCATGAAATTTTTATTTATTTAGGAAACTTAAAGAACCTAATAAACATCCTGAAAAGTTAAATGCTTACTGTAAAACGTTTAAACGCTGAAAGAAACATATTCAAATGTCTTGTTTGATTTCTCAAAGATGTTCAGTTTAATGTCGTAAACTGAGAAACGTGTTTCTTCTGCAGCCTCCAGCTCAACCCCCCCCCCCCCCCCATAAAGCGGACGCGGCGCCCCTGAACTCAGCACACACAAACTTGGCTGCTCATTGAGCTCCACCAACAAACCGGTGGGATTAAAGGAGTCGGGGTGCTGAAAGGCCACCACGCAGACTCTGGAGTTAAGCGTCCGTAAATGAGATGTGGCGACTCCAAAACAAAGCTACTGTGTCACTCAGTGGGGGAACGCTGACGTCACGACTCACAAAGGACCAGGGTGAGAGGGGGGGGGCAGTCTGTAAAATCTAGCAGGACGTCCTGGTTCTCCTCTCAAATATGCACCAGAGCTGCTGCCAAGTCTTCTTCTGTTTGTGTCCACACAGGAGCGTTTGCACTGTGTCCTGGTGGAGATGGACTCTCTGATCCATATTGGGGGGGGGTCTCTCATGGCCTCCTCATGGTCTCTCATAGTCTCCTCACGGCCTCCTCATGGCCTCCTCATGGGTGGCCTGGTTTGGCCGGAGGACTCTCGTAGTGGTCTCCATGGGGATGAGCAGGACCTGGGGAGGTATCCGGCTTACTGGAAACGTGGTTTATTGTTGACTTTCAGGAATGGGGGAGGGGGGAGGGGGGGGGGGGGACCAGAGGGGGGGGTGTGTGGGTGTGTGTGTGTGGGGGGGGGGGTTGCTACACTTCCTGGTTCTTTTTGGTTTCTACTTCGTCCTGCTCACCTCACAGCTCACCAGCTTATACTGCCGAACATTTATGGAGAAATACTGCAAGTTAAAGTACTGTGGTTGAAGTATCAAAGGTACAAGTACTCCCTAAAGTACTTCCTAAACTAACACTTTATAACTTCAGACGATAAAGAAACATTCTCAGATTAAAAGACCTCCAGACTTTACAACATGAATTATAATGGAAGTTATAAAGATATCTACATGCTGTTTAATATGTAGAGTGTACTTATGAAAGTACTTTGGCACATAAAGCCAGAACAGAAGTATCCAGAACTCAAGAGAGGTTTGTGTTTAAATGTTGTGCTTTAGCTCCCTCTCCTGCTCTGTAGCTTTAAGTACTGAATACTCACACACACACACACACACACATATAAATACACACACACACACACACACACACACACGCATGCATACACGTGAAATACATTAAATTAAATTAAGCTGAGAATACTGCTGTACTTTTACTGCATGGAGCTGAGAATACTGCTG